CTTTTTATTGGCTGTTTTAACAATACCCTTAGTAATAAAATACACCTTATTCACTTCAATCATATCATAGAATTTATCACATTCACTGTTAAAAGCAGTAGCTCGTATTTCACCATGTTCATCTACTAGGTCCATACTAAAAAGTTTTCCATCTCCTCTTTGATTAGTCCATGTACGAATAGAGGATTTGCTCATGATCCTCGCTCTAATTGTCCATTTGTTCTGATATGGACTTAATGAATTTATAGGATGAATATTGTTATCATTATTCGCAATACTAGATTGTACTGAGCGTTCATAACCATTTGGTGAAACTTTCTTACTATTATCTTGCCCGTCAACAACTTGTGAAACTTTTTTATTAGTATCTTGCCCATCAACAATTGGTTTAGGATCTCCAATTTTTGCTCCAACTAAATTCCCTTTAACCATAACTGATACATCTAATAGAAGTAAAACTTGTTTATTACTTTTTGTACGATCAGTAACATTACTAATTATATGACGTTTAATTTTTATAATAGCAAAATCTGAAAGTTCACCAGATGATACCATTCCATTAAGTTGAGACGCTAATAAAGCAAAAGAATTGTGATTCAAACCATCAGAAATGAGTAAACGATACCTCTCATCAGCACCAGATGCAGCAATTTTTCGAGAGCCAAGAACTTGCATGACTGGCTCCTTTATTTCTTCGTTATTCATAATGGCTTTTAAAGAGCCTCGAGTTAACATACTCTCATAATTCATTCCCATGATGTATAATAAATAATAATTGAAAGAGAACACCAACACATTCAATATTTACTAGCTATAGTAAAGTTTAAGAGTATAAGCCTTAGACTATAAAAACAACTATCTATTCTATCGGTTTCCCTCGAATAAGAGACATCTGGAAGAAATTATCGTTTTTGTACGACTAAAATTCGGCTTTTTCAAAGATCATTCCGTTTCTGATAAAGTTTGACGGGATTTACTGTCCGGCGTCTTTTACAACCACTTCATTAATTTTTTATCTCCGAGAATTTTTGAAATTTCCGATTTTCAAAATTTCTTGGAATATAAACGAGTATTAAAGTGGAGAGTGTAACCACAATTTACATTGTTATCGTAATTCGCGTTCCCGCCATTTCGTCGTTATCACCGTCGCAATGCTTTCTCGTGTTACGCGATCGTTAGTTCTTCAGTAATCATTAATTAATTATTTTTTTTTATTATTTATTTCCTAAAATCCCTTGTTTACGATATCGTTATAATCGTCACAGTGACGTTTTTCGACGACATCGAGCTGACGATGACGTTCCAGTACCCATGAGTCCTTTATGCGGCAGTGATTCGTCGTCCCATGTTTCTGCCGTCTCTAGCCTTAATGATTGTGTCGAAAAAACTGACAAAACACACCGAATAGTTGATTTTTATTTGTAAGTGTATAAAATTATTAGAATGGTTAACATATATAAATGTTTTAATACTATTCATGGATGTGTTAATACATTTATAAACGATTATCCTTATATAATTGTGTAAGATTTATGAAGATTAATTACTGTTATTAGATTGATTACTGAACATTAGTTTGATTTAAAATGTGTATGACTAGGTTAGCCATTGGGGATCTTTTACTGTTGTTCCTGTACAACTGCTTGATCGATNCTAGGTTAGCCATTGGGGATCTTTTACTGTTGTTCCTGTACAACTGCTTGATCGATAGCCAATAGTATTGACAAGTTTTGCTAATGAATGTATTATACAGGTAATTACTTTTTATTTCTTTAAATATTCATTTACTCTGCAAATATTAATAATGTTATTATTATTTTTTATCTGATCTAAAGCTTTGATTATTTACTAGATATTATAAGCTTAAATTTTGTATTTTTGGGACTATAAGGCTGAGTTATGGGTTTATACAATCCATAACTTTTTTGTTTCAAAAAATTCTAAACATATTTTTTATTAAAATATGATTAGTTATTAAATATTGTAGTTACTTATTATATAAAGGTATTAATAAATAAATAAATTTGTTGATCGTGTAATGATAAAGACAATGTTAATTAAAGTGATTTTTATTTTTTAGGCTGAACATTGTTCTGTAAGCTGCAGTGGTTACATTTCTGATATATCCTTATTGACTATACTGTGCTGTTAATTTTTGCTTTGCTAGTGCCATTGGCAGTTAATAGTAATGAATTTATTGTATTGATTTATCATTTTTATTTCACATCAAGTAAATTTATTGGTAATATCAATTTATAGGATCTGTAAATCTTAAACTTTTCTATTCATGTATATATACAAAGTGATCAAGACACTCATTTTCTCAAAAACTATTAAATTTTAAATTTTTTTAAAGAAAAATATTTAGTTAAAATAATAATAATGTGATAAAAAAAATTTTTATCATTATAGGTTTATCGTTCTTTAAATTATATTTTCTTAGATGAGAACCCTTATTTTTAATTTAATATTATGATAAAAGAAATAATGACAATTTTATTTTTACAGTTTTTTATCCATTTAACCATTAATCTGTTACAATATGTTAAAGTTAAGTGATTTTTGTCCAAAATTCTATTGTTATTTCACTGTTTTTGATCAGATTGTGATTACTCTGTATAATCTATAAATATAGAGTATTCAGTAAATAAGAAAACAATTAAATTGTTAAAAACAATTAGAAAAATAGAAACCCGTTTCCTTACTTACTGAATACCTATAGATGATAATGACTATAACAGTATTAATTATTGTGATTTGTAATGTTTATGCCTGAAATACCGTCATAGTGGCCTCTGATTATGATTAATAGCTTTATCTAATTTGTGATTCAAAAATTGTTTTTGTTTTATGATATTTTACTGAAATAGACAAATTTCAAATAATTAAAAAATGTATCTGGTAATTATTTGAAATCAAAATTAGCTTATTATAACTTTTATTATATTTATACTTAATTTTATAATATATTAAAATATTCTATATATTTTCAATTTCTCCATTACACAGTAGTATATAATGTTCTTCACTAAAACAGCTTTCACATTAATAATGCACATACAATTTTTAAAATAAATAATATTCTTTTTTCTCGCGTTAATCCCAACTACTTGGGGTTGGCCAATTTTTATTAGTTTCCTGCACACAACAAATGTTAACTTTTCTACTTCTACTAATTCTCCACTTTTACCAGTTAATGTTCCAACTTTCCATGTACCTATTCTTATTTTGTATCTATCTTTCTACCTTATACACGAGTCCAGCCTAGAGTTAAGTGGTGATGTCCTTTTGTTTGACATTATAAGCATTGGGTAGACCACATGATTGGTGAAACAGCTACCACGCAAGTTGTCCAGCTGGATTAAACACTTTATTCCTTAGGCCTTCTCCATTTTTAACTATTTTATTCCCTCACCAGTTGTCCCGGCGTACATCCAAGATGGGGCAATTCGCTTAATCTTTGTTCAGAATACCTCATACTATTTGACAAAAATTTTACGCTGGCTGTCGACCTGATGCAACCTCATTAGTCGCCTCTTACGACTGGTAGAGGGGCCATGGAAATATTCTTATCCCCTATCCACTGGGAATTTTAACATAAATAATATAAAACTATTTTTAATAGTTGTAATTAATTATTAAATTTATATTTATATCAATTTTTACTATAATCAACATTATTGGTTTATTCAATTATTAAATAGTGTTTGATCATATTAAAGTGTGATTTCTTTTGCTGATTACACTACTGTTATTATTTCCTTTCTTAAACTTCTTTAACTGAATTTAATAAATTGTAAAACTTATTTATTTTTATTATTATTATTAAATGTAGTAATGAGTAAATAGTAATTGCATATTCATTTTTTTCTTTTTTATTCTAAATTCATTTACTACCTTAAAAGAGTCATAGTTACTCCTATCGTCAGAAAATTTTGATAGGCCATTTGATGTTCCATTCAGCAGGGGCACTGGTGCTGAGAGCTTCGGGCCCACTAGACCATATCGGCAAATCACCCGTCATTTCGAAGGTCCAGACCCTATTCATATAGGACTGTTGAGACCAACAACCTGTTTAACCAAAAACTTGTAATAGTAATATGAAAGTCCCAGCTTTTAAGAATAAATTACAATAGATAAAAAGTTAAACCTTTTCATTTAACATAAAATAAGTTACTTTAGTATGTTATTTGAATTTTGTAGGTTTAAATACGACGTCTCAATATTAGCGGGGGAAATATTTTATTCTCTTGCCTTAGTTACAATGATTATTACTAATGTTACTTATTTAATTATTAATTTTCATGTCATTATGAGTATATGCCTTTGGGTTTAAACAGTGGAAAATGCCCGTATTATGTGTTCTGATTGAAGATATCATGGAAGTCTTATATTGTTAAGAATTAGATATTTATTTAATAAACACAGTGTAATTCATTAATTTATGGTTTCTTTTATTTGCATGTTTTTCTTAATTTTATTATTCATGAAGTATTTTGTATGTTCATCTCTTATACATTTTAAGGGTGTTAACTTAATTTTTCAAATAGAAACATACATTTTTAACTAGTTTAAATAAAAAAAAATTATCTAATTAAGAAAATTACTGGTTTGTAACTTTTGATCTAGTATTTAGGATGTTATATTTAGGTGGGAGGAGTAGAGGCGCCATTAAATGTCTAGTGATAAAAATAAAAACACCCTCTCCCACCTCCATCCTTTACGGTAATATGTTAATAATTTCCAAAATTCAATGTTATTATTGATAAGTCATTTTATTAATTAGATTATTATCTATTAAATAAGCTAGTTAATTATGTATGTTTCCATCTGAAAAAAATAAAATTTCATTCTTAGAAAGGTATAATTGATAAATATAAAAAATACTTTATGATTGATAAATTGAGAAAAACAACTACTTAAAAGAAATAAAAAAGAAAATTCTCAATATTATTTTTATTTTTCGACTAATTAAGTGATTAATAATAAATGAATCACTGTATTTTTTAATTTTAATTATTATTCCTTAATATGATATGATCCCTTTGCAGGATTTTTTTTTATTTTACCACTTAAATATTGCCTAGGGTAGTCACATTTTAATATTTAAAAATCGCACAGATTAATTTTATGTGCAAATTTTTTTTGGAAAATAAAGTTATGCTTAAAGTTAATATTTTTGTCTATTCCGGCTGCCTTCATAGCTTAGTTTATATTTTACTTTTTAAATTTTTAGTTACTCAATTATTTTGTATTTATTAACATTGCTAATATCTTTATATAATTTAAATGAATATTTTGGTGAGCATGAACAGCTGTACAAACTGCATATCCTAGTGCAGATATCACTAGTTACAAAAGCAAACGAATTAATGTGAATTTGCTGATTTGAAAGAATATTTCCAACTTAAAATTGATTCTTTGACCTATGGAATAGTTGACCAACTAGTCAATTTTTTATGAAAGAAAATGCTATTGATTTATTTGAAGTTTTAATTCTATATTTAAAAATCAAATATTTATTATAATATAACTACTTAATATTTTGATTTCCTCAGAAACGAGTATATTTACCATTTTTAGTATAAAATGATATTTCAATAATAAGAGTAGAAGACTAACAATAAAAAATTGCGTAAAATTAATTACTTTAAATATCTTTAGAACGCTTTAGTTATAAGAATAAATTGAATAAAGTTTAATAATTACAAAAACTTATTCCTATAACGAAATAAATGTATTAGGTAATACATTTTTTTGTGAGCCTAAGCTCTTTTAAAATTTAATACTTTATTCCTGGATAGTATTAAAAAAAATATTTATATATTTTTTGATAAATCGAAATTACATATTATTATTATTTTTTTTTTCAAATTACTGTATGGATCATTTTTTTAGTTTCGATGCGAAGCTAAGCAGGTATTACTTTTAATTACTAAGAAGGTTTTACCATGATGTTTTTTTTTGTCTGTTGCCACTTTTTCTCAGCTCTCACTAGACCAATTTCTTTTAATAATACATCAAAAAATCACAAATCATATGTAGTTACATTACTCTAATAAATTAAAAAAATTTCCATCGTTCCCCGTAAATGGGGGAAATCTCCAAAAACATTACAATTTTAAAAATCAGTAATTTTTTACATTTTTTACACTTTTTTTTCTTAAAACTATCGTATTTTTTGAAAAATGAACAAATCATCAAAAAGTTTTTCTATATTGAAACCGTAGATATTTTCATTTTATTTGATATCATTTTTTTGAAAATCTAACACTTAACATGCTTTCAGGAGGGGATTTAAAATAACGACCTTTTTATAAAAACTGACTTTTTCAACTTAATATTTGAAAATAATCCTGAAATACTCCGAGCTTTAAATATATGTCAAATTAAAGCATACAATAAATACTATAAGTTCAAAAAAATAACATGTTCCTACATAAATCATAAATCTAAAAAAAAAATGAGTTTTACTTTTACCTGAATTTAACAATGGATTTTTACAATTATAATCAAAATTTATAATACACTGAATTGAACTTTTTAACTATTTTTTTTTTATTGTTTTTTTTAGTTAAAGTAAATCATTAAAATTAATTGAGTTCTGCATATTTCAATTGTAGAATCTTTAAACACCAAAAGTTAATTAGAAATGATTAATATGATTTCTATTTAAGTGATCTATTACGATAAAAATGCAAAAAAGAATGGAGCTTTTCTGATAAATTTACTATAAATACTAATTATAAAATTATCTGACTGCATATTAATCTTAACAATACTATTTTTTTATATTTAATGATGTGTTTATTTAATTTCAAACTTGCAAGTTGAGCTAAAAGCTATGGTAGTAAATTCATTTTTTTTTTTATATACTTTCATAAAAATTAACTTTAAAAGATTAAAAAAATAGGTTAAATATTTCATTTTCCTTATTTTTAACATATTAAAAATCAAAATCAGCATTAATTCAAAACAATTAATTATAAAAATTATATGACATATAATTAAAAAATTATACTTATATTTTTGAATCTAAGAATTACTAATCTGGATATAATTAAGGAAATAGAAGTTGATGTTGATTTTGTAGTTATCTACCAATTTCTTAGATTTAAACACTATCTACAGATTTATATCGAAGAGTTTCTTATGATAGTAATTTAATCATTGTCAGATAAATCTATACTGGACCCAACTATGCCACGACCCCACTGTGCTGGTTTTTTTTTGTTGTCGCTACTTTTTCCAGCTCTCATTGAACCGATTTCTCAACGATACGTCAAAAGATCACAAATCGTGTCTAGTTAAAGACATTACTCTCAAAAATTTTCCTTCGTTCCACATAAATGATAACAAAAATAACAATTTTTTAAAATCGATAAATTTCAACATTTTTTAAACTATCAACTTTTAAAAAAATGAACGAATCAAAAGAATTTTTTTAAATATAAACACCAAATTTCTCTTTCATAATATATAAACTTTGCATATCAAATTTCCTACTTCCCCACGGGGGATTAGAAGTAGCAACATTTGCACAAAAATTTAAATTTTTCAACTTAGCTTTTGAAAATGTTCCTGGAAATACACCGAGCTTTAATTATATATTAAATTAAAGCTCATGTTACATATTATAAGTTAAAGGAAAAAATTTGTTCTAATGACTTGTCTTTTGTATGTAAATGGTCTCCGAAGTTAGACAAAAAATATTATTTTCGTGTAAAAATCGCTCCTTTTAAGTTTTTTATTTAAATTTTTCATATTTTTTTGTTTTAATATTGAAATAAATCATTTCAATAGAATTCAGTAATTATTTTTATAAAACTCTTAGTGTTTAAATACCTGATACAATTGAAGAAATATATTGGATCTAGTTTCATCCTTGATTTTGTAAGCTGAGTGTTGTTAAATATTATTTAACATAGATTTTTTTGGTTATTTTGTTAACATTCATTTATTTACTAACTAGTAATAATCTCAAAAATTAGAGGGGATAGAAAAAATCGAATTGCAATTTGAAATCGGCAAAAAGATTTTAGGTTTCGAAAAAGTACATTTTTGTTACTGATAAAAATTCCCTGTAGACCACTTTAATCGAAACTATTTTAGATTATTTTTGAAAAAGGTTTTCATCAAGCACTTCAATTTTTATAGATGTTTGTATAGAAGTAACGAAATATACAACTGTTCTATAATTTTTTTGTAAAATATACAATATTCAAGTTCAGGTTATAATTAATTATGATAATACTAAGCTAAATGAAAAATATGTTATAAGTTGTTGTAACATAATTACCACAGTAAATGAATAACAATATATTGAACTATTGGTTTAAATTGACTATAATCACTAATAAAATAAAGAAATTAAAATAAGATAAACATTTTTTTTTTTAGATATTTTTTACATAAAATTATATATTAAATTATTTAGAGTTAATAAAAAATTTGATTAAATGGACTTTGGTTGAAATAATGAAGAAGATGATGAGGAATTAAAAGTTACAGTACAAAATTTTCAGTACAATCATGGTGAATTTTATGGATCTTCTTTTTAAATATAATTGGAACCTACTCAATTTCACGACTAGAAAATTAGCGTCATTAATTATTTTATATTTTCATATACATATAAAAATTATAAATCGTCGACTGTATAAAAGCCTAAAGAAACATGTCGCCTATTTTCTTGCCAGACTTAACACTGATTTGGATAAATCTGTAGTGAGCCTAGTAATGTAACCAGAATTAAAGAGGGTTTTTTCATAAAAGAAAATTCCATTATTGTATGTAGCAATGTAATTTTTTTTGGTTTTTGTGAAATTAAACAATTCTTGAAAATATCTCAATTATTGTCACATAATGAAAATTCCTTAAAATATGCTCTGTTTGCTATATTGGTCTCCAAAGTTATAATTATAACTAAGTTACACTTAA